CCACAATTTAAAAGAAGAGAGGTTTTATTTGGCTTACAGTTTCCAGTAGGTTCAGACCAAAGTCAGCTCTAAGGCAGAAATGGCATGGTGGAAGGGCCTAGTGGGGACAGCTGTTCATTCCATGGCTGTTAGGAAACAGAGAGAGAAAGACAGACAGATAGTCAGTGATAGGGACAGACAGACAGACAGAGACAGAAACAAGACTGGGATAAGAATATACCCTTCCTGGAAGTTCTATAGTTTAACATTTTACAATCAGATATATAATCCAATTTGAGGTCATGTTTGGAAAGTGTTTTCATTCTGTCTAGATTCAGTTTTTGCATGTAAATCCAGTTGTTCCAGTTCTAATTGTTGAAAGGACTGTGTTTTCATTATATTGCCTTTGCTCTTTTGTCAGAGGTCAGTGACTATATTTAAGTGAATCTGTTTATGAGCTTTTATTCTATTCCATAGAACTATTTGTCTCTGGCTATAGTTCACTGTAGCTTAGCGATGTATGTTTAAGCTCAACGCATGGACTGTTGACCTTTCTGTATTGAGATATTCTGGTTTACAAATCTGACTGACTAGATTCCTCATAGCTTTACCACATCATGAATAGCTTGTGGCTTGGAGTTTTCCTATAAGCAGTGGAAACCATTGATAGAAAAATAAATCATATTTTCATTTTTGGTGATTATCTCCTACTCCAAAAACCACTAGATGGAAGCTAGAATAGTGTTGGTAAAGGTCAATCAAATTTAGTGTGTGAAGGAGCTATCATTTAACAATGCAGTCCATGGCCATTGAGTGATTTATATGACTTCTAAGTTTTACTTTCAGCTAATAGCATGTCTTTTTGTAAGAGTGGATCTTAAGGAAAAAATAGTTTCTACCAGAAGAATATTGTGCAGTGTGGGGGATGGAGGTAGGGGAGGCAGTCACTTAGCAAGATATCCTGGAGGTCCTTTAAAGCAACCTATCTCTAGCCTTTTCCACTTCGTCATTGCTAGAGTGTAACTATTAGTGATGGGAATCTGCTGTTATTGCAGATGGGGAAACCACTGCACCATTCTAACATGAAAATATTAACCACGGGGAGTAAACAGCCACAAAAATGAAACAGAATTTCTTTGCAAGTTAATTCTTGCTTGTTTGTTGGAGAGAAATTTTTTAGCTGCCCAAACAGGTTTTGCTGATAAGGACATTTTGTTCGTGCTTTTCCAGTCAGAGTTCAGATTAGGTCCTGTATGGAAGTTCTTAAGTTAATTTGCATAACAAAAGCATCAATTCATGAAACTTGATAAAAAGGGTCAGTCTTTTTGAGACAAAGAAGTTAAACTGTTTTAATAAACGAAGGTAAAACTAAGTCAGATTACTACTATTTCCCTTTTAGTTTTAAATTCCCTTTGTTTTTGAAACATTCACAGAAAAGGGGTTAATCTGGAGACCACAGGTACGTACAGGTCTAGGTATGTGATCTGTTTGGCTGTTTTGTGAGGTGTTATAAGTGCTGCCTGAGTGTAATCTGACACCAGGTAGACCCAAGTGGCCAATGATGGAAAGTGAAGAACTATGTGAAAGAACTGGAATTTCAGGTCTGGGGAGTAATTGTGGCTTTGCCGTCAGTCCTGGACTGTTCCCGAGTGTCAGCAAGAAGGCAAAAGCATGGAGTACTTAGCCTGTTCCGCATGGATCACTCAGCCTGATTCATATTCTCTCTCTCCCCATCCCCTTTTCTTTTTCTGTGTGTGTCTCTCTCTCTTACATGCTTGGAGGTAAGGTGAGCTTGATCAAGATTGTGAAGATCTGTCTCATTTTTGTATAAGTCACCAGAAGTCTGAGACTTTGTAAACAAAAAACAAAAACTCATCAATTTGTGCTTCATTTACATGAAAGTAAAATTGTGCTCTGAACAAAGTTAGAGATAGTTATGGGTTGCTTAGCATGATCAAGGCCCTCTGCATTTAATCCCTAGTACTGCAGAAAACAAAACAAAATAAAAACAAATAGACATAGATCTCTCACTCACCTCTACATCATACCCTCTTGTTAAAGAATGCCTAATTTTTTCTCCCAATTAGAGAATGGCAGGGCAGGGTGGCACATGCCTGTAATCCCAGCACTCAGGAGGCTGAAGCATGAGGATAGCCGTGAGCTTGAGGCTAGCTTGGGCTACATAGTGAGTGCAAGGCCAATCTAAACTATGGGGTGAGACCCTGTCTCAAACAAAACAACCCCCTAGGTTTAGGTAACTATGCTGGTTATTTATTTGAAAGATAATTCAAAAGCTGGGGATATGGCTGTGTGGTAGGGTGCTTGCCTACCACTGGGTTCTGTTCTATCCCTAGAATCACAAAAGTAAGTAAATAAATAAGCAAATAACATATGGTACGTATATATGTAAATTCAAGGAACTTGGTTTTAATGTGCTGCTGGGGATCAAAGCCAGAGAGCCTGGTGCGTCCTAGGCAAATGCTCTACCACTGAGCTAACCCCAACCCCTACAGATATATTTTAGAACTTTTTCTAAAACTTTTTTTTCAGTTCCTTGAATATTTGAAGTGCTGCTGGTGTAGTGGTATCATGCAAGATTCCCCCCTTGAATATTTGAAAAAAAAAGCTAAGATGTAGAATTTTCTATTTAAATTATGAGACTACTGAATGAAGTAAGGAATGACTTGATCACTTTGTGACATTAATTTTTTCCCCCCATTTTGTGTATAATGTTATAGAAAGAGCTTTATAATGACATTTACTTTAAAATTACTATTCTTTTTTCTGCTCTTACTCAGTAGGATGAGGGACTCTTACTGTCCTTGTTTGGGAAAGTTTAAATTTGACTACTTGACTAGCTACAGTGTGGTGTATTTCATAGTTGTTTTCTCCATATCCACATTTTTGATGTAAATTATGCTACATTTAAAGAACTAGAAAGAAAAATGTCAGAATATTTCAAAGTATTTTAATGAGTTACAGTAGTGTTATGAAAAGGCTTGTGCTTCTTTTTCACTTTTTGAACGGAGTGAATGTATAAAGTGAGATGGTATGATATGGTAGAATCAGAAATGAATAATAGTAAAACTAAGATTTAAAGAAATAATGGAGGACTGAGCATGGCGGCCCACACCTGTAATCCCAGCAGTTGGGAGGTTGAGGCAAGAGGATTGCTGCAAATTTGCAGGCCAGTGGGCTACAAAGTGAACTCAAGGCCAGCCTGAACTGCATAGTGAAGCCTTGTCTCAAAAAGACAAAATAATAATAATAATGATGGAGAAACCTACAAGCTCCTCTCCTTCAGTTGTTTTTACATAAAAATATGGTTGAAATTGATTTATTCCATCTCCTAGAAATCACAACTCTCCTTCAAGTGTCTTACCAGTTTTATACAATTAGCACATCAGGGAGGAAACAAAAAATCATAGCTGCTTGCAAAGTAGCAAACACAGAAGATTCTTCTATGAGTGGCCTCTTGTACAGATCAAAGGGCAATGAAAAAACATGGGAGCAGGGAAGAAAATGATCTATTGTAAGCATCAAACGATTGCATAAAATATTATATAAAAGCATTTTGGAGACTAGTAAGATACTCTTGTTACGGATACATAGGCAAGAGATTTCTCTTTGACTTTCACTTATAGGAATTGAACCGAGGGCCTTATGCATGCAAGGCAAGGGCTCTATTGCTATGTTACATTTCTAGTTCTTTGTTTTTATTATGTAAGGGATTTCTTAATTTTCCAGATATTCTTCTACAGAAAAATATTAATGAAGTTCTGTTAATATAGATATGGGGCTAGTGAATATAATAATTGGATTTGAGTTTTTAGGAAAGTAAATTTTCATGTCAGCTTTATCCCCAAACTTGTCCCTTTAGCATTATTAGGAAATTAGTTCCCATCCTTTGTTTGAAATCAGCTTTGTTTTTGAAATATTTGTGCTATTATAAATGCTATTTTAAAGAATTTGATGTTTTTTAATGATTGTTTTTGTATCATTGTCTTTTTATGTCATATTTATGTTTATTACCATTTCATACAGTATTTAATCCCTCACTAATTTAGTTTTTACTCAGTAAATTCAGTTCTAACCAGTGGCTTCCCGTTGTCACCCACTTCTAAATTAATTTTTTACATTCACTTTTGTTAGTAGTGGTAAGTTTTTAAATTTTTTATTTTTTAAATATAGAACTATCTTTGGCAGACATTTTTAAAGCATTTCTCCTTCTGCTGTGAAATTGTTTTTGCTCTTAAGTTGCATTTCTGTTTTTCTACTATTGTAAAGTGCAGTTCTTTGCATGTTCTAATTTGCCATGACGTGGTCAAGTGCTGTTTCCTTCCTGTTGGCTTGCAAGCCTGTTCCAGAGATAAGGGTACATTTCAGTGCATTAGAAAAGAAGTCACTGAAGACAGGCTTAAGCATGGTAACTCTTAAAGCATTCTATTTATCAGAAACCTTTTAATGAACAGAAGTGGGCTTTAATTTCTGCTTATATTTAAAAGCTCTTACAATAATAGTATGTACGAAATTTTAAATTCATTAGGCTTTAAATTCTTACGTTTTTTAGGCCGAACAAAGATGCTGTTTGAATGCTTCTGTTAAGGGCAAAATATACATTAAATTGAAATTACTTGTAGACTAATAATTCTTAGGTGGTTTACTGGATTAATGGAAAGCAGATAATTATTTATGTGTCCATTATTGCAGTTGTAAACCTCATTATTAATGTTGCATTTTTTGTTTTGTTTTTGTTTTTTAATAGTCTTTTAAAGTTTAACTGAGGGAAAGTCTTTATTTTCAGTAGTAAGAGTGCTCTTAGTAGGAATGAAGTCTTCAAGGAAACTATATATCTAAATAAGTATCTACAAAATGTATCTAAAAATAAGTCTTTTCATTAGTCATGTTCGTTTTATTTAGAAACTGCAACATAAAATCATTGGAAATACTGTGCACTATATCAGTTATGTTTTAAATGGATTAGTGTTTCTTCACAATGAATTTAATGTTTTATCTTTCAGGTCAAGAAGCTTAAGAGAAGAAAAAGTTTAGAAAAATTGCCTGTTTGCTTAGAGTATCAGTGAACTAAGAAAATTTGAAGCACCTTCTTTAAAGAACACCTTGGGTATACAGTAATTTCATTGACTTGGCTGAGAAGTTTTACCCAAATTTGTCAGTGGACCCTACTGCCAAACACTGGAAACTGTTTGGAATTTTTTCTCATGTGGATCTAAGGGGAATGCTTTATTATGGCTGCTGTTGTCCAACAGAACGACTTGGTATTTGAATTTGCTAGTAACGTCATGGAGGATGAACAACAGGTATGAAACTTAGAGAAAATTGGATTTTAATAAACTTGCTGTTTTTTATTTGCAACAGAAAATTACTTTAAAAGACAGAAATGTAAATATTCAGATGTAATATGCTCTTATAAGTGCTAGTTAATTTATTAAGTATAAACTTTACCCTTAGCTTTGATGTGGTAATAAGGAAGTAATACTTTGGGGATTTAGCTTGTTTTTGCTTTTTTTTTTTTTTAAAAAAAATAAATTTAACAGTAAATATCTAATTATTTCAAAGTACTTTTGAAAAAGTCTGGAAAACATAATAAATTTTAATGTAGGCAATTAATGTTTATAATTGTGTGCTATTTCTTCAAGCAGATGAAGTGATATTAAAAGTCCTGTAATCATACATCACTTCAGCCCAAAGCATGTAACAAACCTCCTCCAAGGGGTAGGATTTTTTGAGACTTTATAATTTATTTTAAACAGGTTATGTGGGGAATGTAAGATATGATGTGGGAGAAATAGTGTGTTGGAGATCCAGTCTGTTTACTAGGAAAAATATTTTGAGAACCAGTAGGTTTAAAATATGCCTAATAAAGTTGATTTATATGTTGAAGTAAACCTAATCCTAAGTACTTAACAGGCCAGTACTTTAATAAGCCAATTTTAATGTCATGTTTTTATTGTAGAAACATAGTTACTGCAAATAATAAAAGTGATCCTGAGCTTTGTCAGGATATGATAATTTCTAGCTGTTTGTAGTGTTCATTGCAGTGACAGAATAAAAGGTTTATATATATATATATTTTTTTTTTTTTTTTCCCGTACCAGGAATTGAACTCAACCTCGTGCTTGCCAGGGAGGTGCTGTGCCTCTGAGCTAAATCCCCAGCCCCTAAAAGGTTTATAAATAAACCTACAAGAACTGAGAATTTAAATTAAATTGTTCTAAAAATCAAGATGAGCTTCAACTAGGAAGGAAAATTTCTAAGGAAAAGATTGCCTGGTTCCAACTGAAAAATACTATAATAGTGATAATTTAACTCAGAAACAATAGAAAAGATACTTTAGGAGAGGAAAGCATTTGAATTTGTTTTAAAACAGGTTGTTATTATGTATCTGTTAAGGTATGAAAATGTATATGTACTATGCTGCCCTCTTAGATGAAAGATCCCAGGCTTGATGTGGTGAGGTTTTATCTCCGGGTGTGGCAGTGGAGGACTAGTATGCTTTACTTACTCTTCTGACCATGAGAAGTGCATTTTACATTATGGTAATATAATGCCATTCACTCACTGGTATGCTTTAGTTACTCTTCTGACCATGAGAAGTGCATTTTACATTATGGTAATATATTTATGCATGGATATATGTAGTGTTAAAGTTTTCCAAAACTATACTTGCACACTTACTACATATGATGTACTTGGTTTGTCTTGGAGAGGTTATATCTTTGGAAAGGGTGCTGTTAATATCAGTGTGTACCTATAAGTGTGTGTGTGTGTATATATATATATATATATATATATTTATAAATTTTTTTTTTTTTAATGTGGTACTGGGAACTGAATCCAGGGCCTCCTGCATACTAAACATTCTATCACTGAAACACATTTCCAGCCCTGCATTTTCTTTAATTATTTATTTTAATAAAATGAACCTGTATTAGTTTTTTTGCAGATATTATTATAAGGCCCTTATAAATACCAACCATATGAGGTAAATACTAATGTCCTCATTTTATGATGAGGAAATTGAAACATGAAGAGGTTAAGTGACTTCACGCCCCAAATCATACAACTAATAAATAATGGAGACACCATTTCAACATTAGCAGTTTGACTTTCACTAATGATATTATTATGTTGTATATTCTTGCAGTGATGCACAGTAATCTTGCTGTCTTATAATCAGTGTCAGAACATTTGAAACTTTGTCAGGTTTACAGTTGTTACAGTCTGGCCATGATCATAGCAAAAATTTAATTTCTTGTCATAAGGGTAGATATAAAGTCTCAGTCTTATTAGCATCTTGTACACAGTACATCTTAATTCTTTTTATGTTTGATATGTATTTTTTAGACAAAAGACTACAAGTTGTTTGTGTACAAATCTACATGGAGGTAGTTGTGTGGCAGAAATGAATATGCTGAACTTCCTGGTGGCTTATTTTACTTCATGTATGATAAATGTATATGTATGTTTATGTAGGGTTATGCATCATTTTTTTCTGTTGATGAATGGCATGCTACTTTATTTCCCTAGTCCTTGACCATGGTTATTATCAGAATTTTGCTATTGTGTACAGTGTTGCTGCCAACATCCTTATTTGGTTTCACAACAGACCCTGCTAGTGACAATAAAGGTTAAGAGCTCAAATAGTGAAGTTAGAATGCCTGAGTTGAATACTGCCTCCACTGTTTACTACCTCTGTGACCTTGGGCAAGTTACTTAACCTCTCTGTGCTTTGGTTTTCATATGTGCAAAATAGAGATAAAAATTATTGAACCTAAGCTGTGTGATTGTTCTGAGGATTAAATGAGTTGCTGCTTTTGAAGCTCTTGTTTTTTTTGGTCTTTTGAGGCAGGGTCGCGATATGTAGCTCAGGCTGGCCTTGAGCTCACTTAGTAGCCGAGGCTGGTCTCGAACTTGCAGCGATCCTCCTGCCTCAGCCTCCCAAGTGCTGGGTTTACAGGCATGTGCCACCACGCCCGGCCTTGCTTATAAAGCTCTTACAGCCAGCTGGGCATATAGCTAATATTTACTGAGCAGTATCATTTTGTCAGCAAAGGCGGATCAAATAATAGTGTTTAAATTTTTAAAAAATTATTACAATAAAAAATACATAGCCATTAATCGCTTGCAGAATATTCTGCCTTGCTTTGAATGCAGTTATCCGATCATTCTTGCCAATTTATGAAGCAGTTCTAGAAGTTCTCTTTCATGTCTTTACCAGATGTGATTAAAAAAAAAAAAAAAAAAAAACACGGTGAATGCTGTTGCTGACTGCCCTCCAACAAAAAAGCAAGCTCAAAAAACATGAAACTGACACTGCTACGACAGTGCACCTAATGACATTCATGCAAGGTTTCCAGTACTGCTTCACAAGGATGATGGAATAAGTGCCTTCCAAGTGAGGACGAGTATTTTGAGAAGGGTTAATAGCGATGTCTTTTTTTCGTTTTTGTTTGTTTGTTTTTGTGGTGCTGGGGATCGAACCCAGGGCCTTGTGCATGCAAGGCAAGAACTCTACCACTGAGCCACATCCCCAGCCCTAGCAATGTCTTCTAATGTAATAAATTTTTTAAAATGTAAATATTTACCCTATTTTTCAATCATATCTCATATATATAGACTTCAGGTTTTTTTTTTTGGTGGCAGGACTTGAACTCAGGACCTTGCGCTTGCCAGGCAGGTGCTAGCTGCTGAGCTATATCCCCAGCCAGACTTCAGTTTTGAACATGATAGTATATTCCATTTTATTAACTTTTTATAGTTCTAGCATTATATTGTTTTCATTAATATCAATCACAGATTTGATATCTAATAGGATATTCTCCATTAGGATAGAGTTTTGAATGAATTGTATTAGAGTAAGTTTGTTAAGTTACATAAGCTATTGTGATTTTTAATTTTACAGTGTTAAAAAATACTTACATTTTTAAAAATTTGTGCTGTTTTATGATCCTGTATTGGTTGGTTCTTTATAAAATAGCTGGAGGCACCAGAATAGAATATATTTCCTGTTTTCAGTTATAGTCTGTGACTATATATCTAAAGAAACTGCTATTGTCAATGTCTGTTTGCCAGCACTTTGATCATTTTCTCTTATATAAATTTCTACTCTTCAAAATTGCTTTGGAACTTTTGGGTGGAGATGGTGGGTATTGGTATCGGAAAGGAAGTATCAACACTGTCGGTATTGGCAGGCAAGATGGTGGGTATTGGTATGGGAAAGGAAGTATCAACACTGTCGGTATTGGCAGGCAAGGTATTGCTGTCAGTTCTAAACTGGAAGTATTTCTAGCTGAGAAAGAAGTACTTATGTCCAGTTTTGAAGTGATTGTACTTCTGTATGAAGGTGCTTTAAACAGATGTGTTTGCATGATAAATTTATAACAGTAGAGTGCTGAAATCTGTAGATACAAGTTTCTAAACAGAAGAAACTGACCATATATTCAAATATTCTAGTAGTTAACTTAATAAAAAATACCTGATATTTATAATTTTGATAATTTTGATATAATACTATGTTTTTTAGTGTCTGATTTTAAAAGTAGAATTTCTAGCAAATCATGGTATTTATGCTTAATGAGAAGCTTGGTAACATGCCTGGAACAAATGAAAAAGTAGAACAAATATTTTATAAACTTTTACCACAAAATGAGAAGGGGTAGTCTTAGGACTTCCTTTCCTACGGTATACATTGGCCTGGTCTGACCGTTGATTCCTCGAGATTAAAGGGTAACAGTGTCTTGCTTTCTTTTTAGACGTTGCTTAGTGAGTTTCTAAGTGTGGTGTTTGGGAAGTAGTACTCAATGTAATGACAGAAGTAAAAGCTGAGTATTGGCGATTCAAAGCTTTACAGATGTTGACCACATTGGGACTTTGGGAAAGCTTCACTGTGAATGTTACATTTGAATTAGATCTTCAAGGAAGATCAGTGCATTCTGTAGATGAAGAAGGGGAGATGTTCCGGAGCAGTGAAATGCACAGAAACTTTTTAATGGGTTTCTCTCGACTGCATGATCAATCTAAACATCTTAGCACTTGTGGTTAGAAGCTGTTCAGAGTGTAACTGAGCCTTATTCTTATTTCTTGTACTACTTTTTTTTTTTTTTTTTACCAGCCCATCATATGATTTTCCCAAATGCTTTCCTGCTTTCTTACTGTCTGCTCGGGGATGAACTACCACATTTCATACCTACTGTATGTTTAAATTCTACTTATCTTTCAAGGTCTTAGCAAAATCTACTAACCTAAAAATCATCCACTCAGGAATTAACAACCTTATCCTGTTGTTCTGTATCACTGT